TCTCTTTGTTCTGTACGTTTAGTGTTTTTAAAATGATATGCCATGGAACTTTTTTTCTCTGGTCCTGTCTATTTGGTGTTCTAGGTGCTTCTTGTATTTGTATGGGGATGTCTTTCCTTAATTTTGGGACATTCTCTTCTACAATCCTGTTTAAGATCTGGTCAACACCATTAACCTGAAATTATTCTTCTTCTATGCCTATGATCCATAGATTTGGTCTTTTCATGGTGACACACATCTCTTGCATATTCCATTCCTGTTTTTTTTTAATTATTTTCCATACTCTTTGCTTGAGTGGTCCAATTCTTCATCTTGATTCTCCAGTGTTGCTATTCTGTTTTCCATTTCATTCATTCTAGAGGTGAGGCTTTCCCCTGTTGTTTCAAGTTGGCTTATTGAGTTTTGCACTTCCTTCTTCATTTCTGCCTGTGTTTTCTTCAGTGTTTCTATCTCTTTTGTGAATTCATTCAGGAGTTTATCCCTATCTTCTTTCAGTTCTTTGATTTATTTGTTCATGTATTTTTTAAATTCATTGAATTCCTTGATCATGTTTATGATCGTTCATTTAAATTCGGTGTCCTGGTCTCTAGGGGGTTCTTGTAGAACTCTTCTACAGGATTGGTGGGCTTTGCTGGGGTCACAGTGTTTTGGCTTTCCATTTTATTATTCCTTTGTAAAAAAATTATTCTTTCATTGTGATTTTGGCATGTGAATTTCTTTTGTTGTTTATGATTCTGATATGAGAATTAAGTTGAAGTATGCTTCTGTTCATAGTATTGGGGCACCTAGATCCTTTCTTTATTGGTTATGTAAAGCTGGTTGGTACAGGGTTCATGTTTTCTCAAGTTTAATTTGGAAGGAACTGATAGCTTCCTATCAGCTATTCAGGAGTACCCACAGAAGCCCAATTCAGGTTCCATTCAGGCACACTCAGGGTTCCTTCCCCATGTGGAGGTAGGATCCTGGCACTCTCAGGCAATCCCCTGTGTTCTCAGCCCTTATGCCAGAGGGAGGCCAGAGGGAGGGCAGAACTCGGCACTCTCTGGCAGTCTGCTGAGATCAGAGCCACTACACCAATGGAGGTTGAAACCCACCCTCTTGGGCTGTCTTCTAGGATCTCAGCCTTAGCATACCAAAGCCAGATCTGCCCTGGGGCCTTAAGAGGGGCCTCAAGAAATCCCAGGTTGGGGGATGGATATGGCACAATTAAGGGAAGCTCACCACCTTGTGGAGGCTGGATCTGGGGCCTCTCAGGCAGTCCCCTGCATTCTCAGGCCCTCCGCCAGAGGGAGGCCAGATCTCAGCACTCTGGCAGTCTCCATGTTATTATTTTTTTCTCTGTGACTTTGACATGTGGATTTCTTTTGTAGGTTCTGATTCTTATGTGAGACTTAAGCCTTCTGTTGTTGAGTTTAGGTCTCCTTCTCTTTGTAAACTTTATATGCCTCTGTGGTTTACTTTGGGGGCATGAAAAGCTTGTTAGTCTGGGCTTCAGTTTCTCTCTTTTGATTTTATATTGGAGGGGCCAGGTGCTGCTTTAGTCCTGCTGCTTAGGAGTTCCAACAGAGGCCCAAGTCAGATGAGGATCAGACGCTCTCAGGCTTTCTCCTAAGGTCTGGATCCCTCTAGTCAGCAGGCACAGTACAATTTGGGAGGATTGCTAGGTAGAGGTAGGATTCAGGACTCTCAGGCAGTCAGGGAAGGAGGCTGGTCTCAGGAATCCAGAGCAAGCAGGGAAGGAGACTGGTCTCAGGAATCAAGGTTTGGGGTGGGACAGCCAGGGATTGAAGGCCAGTCTCAGGTATGCAAAGGCGAGGTGGAGGAGGGAACAGACTTTGAGGGCTCCAGGGGACTAGATTGAAGAATTGGGTTGGTCTGGGTGCAAAGGATCAGAAAGCAGTGGGAGTCTGGGCCAAGAGGGTACTCCAGAGGCCTGGGGTTCCAAGAGAAGAAATGGGCCAATGCCCATGCTAGGAGAAGAGATGGAGTGGGGGAGCTGGGAGGGTGAGTGAGGTTGTGGGAGTCAGGGCACAGTGAGCAGGGTCAAACTTACACAGGAAAGATGCTTGCCTCCAAAAGTTGGAGGTTGGACTGGCCAGTGATGAAGGCTGGTCTCAGGTATGCAAAGGCAAGGTGCGGGGAGGGAGCAGGCTTTGAGGGCTCCAGGGGACTAGCCTGAGGAATTGGGTTGGTCTGGGTCCAAAGGGTCAGGAAGCAGTGGGGAGTCTGGGAAAAGAGGGTGGTCCAGAGGTCTGGGGTGCCAAGAGAAGAAATGGGCCAGTGCCATGCTAGGAGGGGAGATGGGGTGGGGGAGCTAGGAGGGTGAATGAGATTCAGCTTCACATTCTTAATCCTTCTGCCTCAGCTTCCCACATTGTTTCTGGGCTTCCAGGTGAATCCTGCTACTCCCAGCTCTCCTTATTTAGTCTCCTTTCAGTATTTCTTGTATAGCAGATTTTCTATCAGCTTTTGATGATCTGAGAAAATATTTGCGTCCCTTCATTTTGGTTTCTGGACATAGCATTCTTCGTTGGCAGAGTTGTTTGTTCTATTGGTTGGGATTTAATATTTTGTTCTATTTATTTATTTCACTTTCAGCTTTTAGAATATATCATCTCACTTTCTGGCTTAGTTTTGTTTCCTGAAGCTGTTGAAAAAGGGAGAGAGGGGTTATTTTAGCTCTTAAATCCAGGTTAATAAGTCAGAAATCTTGCCCCTTTTTTGTCCAATAATCTATTAAAAGCAGAGTTAATATAGCCAACATCTTAAAGTATAATGTCCATGGATGTGCTTAGGGATAAAAACATAGGAAAAAAACTGACTATTAATATATAAGGCACAGGCTGTGGTGTAGCTCAGTGGTAGAGCACTTTCCTAGCATGCACAAAGCTAGGGGTTCAACCTCCAGCATCATCACAGAGAGAAAAGAAGAAAGAGGCAGACAGAAAAGGAGATGACAGACAACTAATAAAGCACAAAATGAAGTGCGTTATTATAAATTAGTTAAAAGATTTTATTAAAAGAAATGTAATCATATGCCATTTGAGAGAGAACATGAGAAAAAGTTATGAACAACAGCAGTAAAGATAATTTGTGGAACTGCAAACAACAACAAAAAAAATTTAAGAGGCTAGAGAATTGGCTCAGAAGTTAAGAGCACTGGCTGTACTTGCAGAGAACCTGGGTTCAATTCCCAGAACCCACAGGACTGCTGACAATCATTTGTAACTCCAGGGGATCCAGCACCCTCTTCTGGCCTCTACAGGCATTGCATGCACATGGCGCACTTACATACATGCAGACAGAACACTCACACACATAGAATAAAAATATAGAGTAAAATTAAATGCTACAGTAATTAAATAAAAATGATTTTAATTTATGAAAGATACATTTCCAGCTGACAATGATTTTGAAGTATAGCAGTCCCTCAGTGTCCTAGAGAAGGGTTCCAGGATCCAGCACAGTAAGTACTAGACTCCACAGGTTCTCAGATTCCTTAAATATGGTGGTGGTGTACTTGCATCTAACCTGGTCATACCCCCACCCCCATGTATTTTTAATCATCTCTAGACCACATGTGTTATCAAATGCAATGGAAATGCTCTATAAATAGTTGTAATACAATATTGTTTAAGGAATAATCAAAAGAAAAAAATCTGTATATGCGTAGTTGAAACATAATAATTTTTTCTAAATA